AGCTGTAACTCAACTAGATCAAGCTATCCTCTCTTCTGTGCTGCGCATCAGGGGGAAAATCTCCAAATGGGAACAAGACAGAGCAATTCTCATGCCTTATGGGCAATTTAAAGGGGTCAAATCATCTTTTTTTTGCTGTCATGTCAAGTGTTTCTTAGCCCATGTTCCCATTTCCACTAAATACCAACAAATGTTTATAAATTCCTGGCAACTAGAAAGGTTGAGGGCCTAGTTCCAGCAGCTTATGCATCAGGAAATGTGAACTCTCAAAAACAAAAGTTTTCACTGTGGCTTTGCTGAGTTAGCACACTCTGTGTTCACTGAGATAGCAGGCCCCATCACATGAGTTTGCTCAACCAAATGGTGACACTTGATTAGGGTATTATTTTAAAAGATGTTAGTTCTACGTAATTGCAGGAAATACCCTCCAGCTCAGCACTATCCAACAGACTTTCTGCAATGATGGAGATTTTTATATCTGTACTTTCCATTAAGGTAACCTCTAGCCATATGGAGTTATTGAGCCCTTGAAATATGGCTAGTACAACAGGGGAACTGAATTTTTTTTATTCTATTTAAGTTGATTGATATTTAACTAGTCCCATGTGACTAATGGCTACCATGTCGGGCAGTGCAGCTCTTGGTTGACCAACTGTCCCACTTGACCCAGGACTGAGGGGCTTCCTGGGATGCAGGACTTTCAGTGCTAAAACTGTCACAGTGCCAAGCAAAGTAGGCCAGTTGGTCACCCTAAACCAGATCTCTTTGTAAAATACGTTTGGCATTTTTGGAAGTGAGAATTGGATATGTTCCAGCTACCGTGTCAAGCAAAAGGGAAGGAAACTCAAAGACAGATATGTAACGGATAGTTTTTCTTCCAAAGCAAAATACAATGAATTTTTTTCTAAAAAACAAATTAATGAATTGATGAGACCACAGGATTGATCCTTTAACTGAAGTAGTCTATTTAAAACTGCAATAAAAATAAGAATATAGAAAACATAAGACACTCATCCTCAAACTACCTGCAGAACCCACCAGTAACCTACTTGACTATATATTGATTCTCATGGGAAAGTGGAAGGCAATAGGTGAATTCAGATATGCTTCTCCTGGAAAAGGCTTCTCTACCCCAGCTCTCATCTACTTGCCAACCAGGGAACCTGAAACTCATTGCCAGCATCGAATTCCTCCAGGTTAAGCATTGTCCTCTATTAAAATACAGACATTTTCTAAGATAAGTCATATATGACCAAAAATATAGGGTGTCCCAAAATTCACGCAAGAAGTAATTTTGATAGAAAACACAGGTTTATAATTAAAAATTGTAAATTTTTTATTGATTCATAAAGTATACAGTATACGGGTATGTATGGAATAGCACATCGGGTAAATGTCCTCCACGGCTTTGTTGGCACAAACACAAAGCCGTGGTCCTCATTGGTCTTCATTGTCCCTGCTCCTGGGCCATAATTGGTACTTGGTAATGCTTATCATGATGAAGGGATTGAAATCAAAGGGTAACAGATATTAGAATCTGATTCAATAAACCAAGGAAAATTAGGCTTTTATTTTTTGTTGTTGTTGTTAATGCTCACGCAAAATTCAAATCTTGCTTGAATTTTGGGACACCCTATATAAGTTGTCCCCAAAAATGTATATATACACTGAATAATTATAAAGGCAGTGTTTATTTAAATCATTTCATCTTCAAAATTGAGCTATCAACTGTTAAAGTGTGTATACTTTTGGGGGGGGGACATGCGGTATGGAGAGATAATCACTGTCAATTCATACATTTTAATAAAGAATTTTTATAATACATTTGAAAAAGAATCCCACTGTTACTTTTTATTTTGTTTTATTTTGCTTTGCCTTGCTTTGCTGTTCTCACATCTCTGGTTCATTTGACTAAATCAATATCCATATAAAAATGCACACATGTAATTCAATAATATTAGTTACCTGAGTTATAACGGCTCTATGAGTAATGATGTCTTTGCATCATTAAGGAGAGCTGAAAATCACTCTATTTCATCATTCTAGCATTTATTATTTAAATTTTTATTTCTCATTTTTGGTTACTTTTCACTTAATCTCTTCTCATACATTTCTTTTTCTGTCATTGGCTCATTGAAGGATAGTGGTAGAGACTAGAGTTATAGTTGCTGAGATAAATATGAGAATGAAGTCAAGTCTTAGTTCTGGTTCCTTTATGAACCAATTTATTTGCAATCTTTTTGGCAGTACAAAACTTTATTGTGCATAAGAATTACTTGGGGCTCTTAAAAAAACCCCAACAATTCCTGATTTTTCCCCACAAAAGATTCTGCTTCAATAGATGTGGGGAAAGGTCAAGAATCAGCTTTCCCCCACTTCCATGCAAGCAGTCCATGATCGAGCTGTACTCTTCTCCCCAGGAATACTGGAGGAGAGAGCAGGAATGAATGATCACTAATGCAACCTCATATTGGGTAAAACAATCTTGACTGTATTACATGGTGACCACTGCTCAGAAGTAAGATCACAGAATGTCTTGGGTGCATAGTTAACAATGAAAATTAGGTCAGGTGTGAATCTTGGTCCTCGAGTAAACTTATTATTGGAGCATCAAAAGAATACTAGCATCATATGACATCCAACTGTACATTTTGCTCTTTGTCACAGATTAGTTATATAGTTGGGTTGGGATGGTAGATGTATAATTTATTTCCTAGAAACCTCTTAAGCCTCAGCAAATAGGCCCTAAATTGGTGAGCCTGTGTCTCAGATCCTAATCATGTCTAGACCTGTCTGTTTCCCAGCATGAACACAAGACAGCGTTCTGAAGATAGGACCCTAGATATTGATAAAGAGAATGATAGTTGCTATATATATAGAAGGAAAGCATAATTTCAAATTCAGTTTCTTCATTAAGTTTTATTATAATTTTTAAACCTTCACCATTTTCATTTCTTTGTTTTGAGTCATGACCTTAAATCAATAAGCATAATTAGACTTATTGAATTTCTTTCTCTTTGCTTCTAGGAATTAATTTGGTAAGCCATAAGTAATTTAGCGAGCATGTTTGCACAAAACATAGTTTATATATCTGACCCATTGTATACAATTGTGCACTGTGGTCCCTTCAAAATGCTGCCTACAGCCCATGTTATGAAAGTTCAGAGCTGCAGGAGGGCTTTAGGGAGACCCCTCTGGTGAGAGAAAGGAGGGTTTCTTGTTTCTTGATTTCACATAAGGCGTATCCTCAAGTGTAAATCCATTTGCTGCTCATTGAAATCTTGTCAGTTCTGAGAGAAAAGTATTCTGGAGATAATTTGAAATAAAATCCATGGAATTTCTGACCCAGAATCCCTGACATTTGCTAGTTGGGCTCAATAGGAAGATCCAACAGCCAAGGCACCCCTTAACAGTAAGGGCACAGCATGTTACAGAGGCTTTACATTCAGCGCCTCATTCTACTGCTTTCCTTCCAGGGCTATCGTGCTTCCCCACCAAATCTCATCTCCCCTCTCTTCAGGATGGTTTTCAGTGTTTACCAAGTATCTATCAACTAATTCCTGGTAAGCGGAGAGGCCAGAGAACTGTGATGGGGGTAGCAGATAGTTATTAAGCTTGACTGAATGGCACAACACACTGGCCAGTGATTTTCCCATCAGCCTGTAGTGTGTGTAGGGATGCCCTTTTTCCTTCTGCCTTCCCTAGCTGGAAATTTCATCACCAATATATATACATGTCTGAGATGCTAGGAAATAATGCAGGCTGGGCAGGACTTAACTCCTCTGAGTTTGTTTTCTTTCTCAGGACATAGGAAAGTTTTCCCAGTCATAAAAAAAGGGGGAGGGGGAGCAAATGACAGCTAAACTCCTAAGTGTTTTTTTATTTTTATTTTTTAAAGAAACCTTAGGTTTTGAAAGGAAAACGGATGGGGGAAAGGGCATCAAATGTTCGATGATTCACTGTGTGTTGAAACGGCTGGTGCCTGGGGACCCGTTGCTGCTTTTCTGGATAGGTGAGTTGGGTGTAGCCCAGCCTGGGTGTGCACACCTAAGCAGCAAGTGGCAGGACACACCTGGGCTTGCTTTTATCTCTGTTTTGTTGAAATTGTGTGGTCTGAGTCTTCCAGAGAGGGGTCACTCAGCAGCTGAGCCTGTGGTGCCATATGTATCTTACCAGGGCCTCTGGCAGCAAGAGCCCCATATTGGTTGGCTAACATACTAGTGACGTTAACTGTTTAAAGTTTAGGGAAGTTTTGGCTAGATTAGAGAAGGGGAGTGGTACCTGGGCAAGTCACTGGGGAGGGCCTTTCAGTGCTTTGGAAAATATATCCTGCTGAAACCTGCCTCCTCTGCAGTTTCTCTCTGCAACTTGTTTAGGGCCAAATTGTCATAGTCACTGTCTAATAGGGCCAGGAAGCGCCATTTACACTATAGGAATCTGGATGTTAAATACCCACCGTTAGCTGGCTATTTCTTGAGAACAAAAGAAAACAAGATGTCCCATGTAGTGGTGAGGTTGGAGGAAACTAGAAGTGGTTAAAAGGCATTCTGCTCTCGGATCCCATTTTACCAAGTGGGTAGGAAGTTTTCCCACCATCCCCTCTTTTTCTCTGACCAAAGCAATAAACGACATTAGACCTCTTCGTCTGATTTCACACTAGCGACAGTCTGTTGACACACAGGATACATGTTCAGAAACCCAAGTTCCAATTCTGAGAAGCTACACAAATCTATGCCCCTGCCCACCCACTCCCTCTCTGTAACTGTTGTTCACCTTCACACAGTGATGAACCTCAGATGCCGACTCACAGCCCTGCTGAGTGAGACCCCCTGTGTTGAGATCAGACATGTTATGAGGACGCAGAAGCCTCATTGCCCTCTCACCCCATTGCCCTCTCACCCCATTGCCCTCTCACCTGGCCACACAGCCACTTCTCCAAGTAATCATCAGGCCGAGCAGACACTTACCTGCAAGCTATTTTTCTTAAGATTTGGCCTCACCTGTGGTTTCTGCAGAATGACCCTCTGCCTGAATATGGTCATTGTGACTGAGGATGACGAAGAGCTAAGGTCTCCCTTGCTTGTTGGTGGTAATTCATTTTGTTGATTGAAAAAGAAAAGAACAAAAAAGGCTTGGTTTGGAGGATCTCTCAGGCTGGCAGACTGTGAGAATGCTATCAAAGGTGAGCAGGCAGCATACCTGACTGATGAATTGATAGTCATGACTGCCAGAAAGTGTGGGAGTGGTAGCTGGCAAGAGCCAATCTTTTTTTTTTTTTTTGGTGAGAGGGAGTTGCCTCACTCCCTCCACACCGGCATCAACCGCCTGGCAGGAGTGTTCAGGAATAGGGCATAGAGGAAAAATGTGGGGGTGCGGTGTGTGAACGCAGCACAGTGGATTTCTATCAATGAAGCGAAGAACCAGTTTTCCTTTCTATTTTATTTAAATAGCTTTATTGAGGTATATCTCTCCAGAGAACAGAGGAAAATTTGCCTGGAGAATATGAGTGTCCACTCTTCCCTCAAAGGACAACTTAAAAAGGAGACTTTCCAGGCGCCCAGCCAAGAGTCTACTGGGGCACCACCAGTGCCCCAGTGCATTGGCTTGGACAGGGCTACTCTCAGCTAAGTGGGAGCTGCCACACTTCAGGTTGTGGCTTGTCATGTTGCCCTATTATCCAGAACCCTTCCCCCAAGTTTTCTACCCTCTAAAGGGGACATGTCAGGAGCTGTAGTCTCAGGGATATTCCTTGGAATTTCAAATGAGACCCAGCTCTAGGGTAAGTTTAGAATCTTGTGGGCTATGTTTGGCCCAGATACCATCCCTTTGGCCACTTTGGATGGTGCTATTATTTTTAATTGGTGGGGCAGTTATTATATCCCTTTGCACAGCCTTTACATGGAGAGTCTTAAAGATCTTTGCATCCATTCCATTCCATCACAGGCCTTTTAGCAATGACCATTCTCTTGCATTCCATACTAGAAAAACAAAATTCTTGCTGAGGCAAACTAACTCCCTTCAACCAAGTAAAGGACACCCTTTGGGGAGGAAAGCACATACCTATTCACCTGGGATGACCTTAACTCACATCTGCCCATTATACACCAATACTTTCCTGTTCTGAGCCAACCCTCTGAGTCCCAAGCAATTCTCTTAGAGAATTGGATTTTATTTTGTTTTTCTGTCTCTAGCTATTTCCTGCTTTATTATTCAACAGCCTAAATTTAGCTCCACACTCCATCTTTATAGCCCAGATTTCCAATGTGCCATGAAAGCAGAAGTAACTGTGAGTGGGAGGCATTAGAGAGGTACTGGGGGCTAGGGGGAAGGGAGGCACATGAGGGCCAGTAGGGAGGAGGAGAAGTCATCATATTAGCAGAGCTGGATTCTGACATTCTGAGAGGCTGCCCGCAGCACATAACAGGCCCCAGGACCATAGAATCCCTCTAACTCACCTGAAGGGAGGTACAGCGCTGCCTGCCATGAAATAAGTAATCGGTTCTTCCCTTCCTATATCCTATAATGTGTTTGGCACAATGCATAGTACTTGCTAACCACTCAAGAAAAAAAAAGAGCCCTGAAGGGAGGTACAGCGCTGCCTGCCATGAAATAAGGTATCGGTTCTTCCCTTCCTATATCCTATAATGTGCTGGCACAATGCATAGTACTTGCTAACCACTCCAGAAAAAAAAAGAGTCACTCACTCTGATTAACTGTCAGAACTAATTCTCATCCATGTTATTATACGATAAAGAGAAAAAAGGAAATCCAAGGAAACTGTGCTTAAGGCCAGTGCCTAATCAGGTTTTTTTCCCTTTCATCTGTTTCATACAAAAACTGCCTGGAATCACTGGTGTGAGCCATTAGGTTCCTCTCTTCAAGTGTTAATTAATTAAATGTGATATTTTAAAATATACACGCCTCTTTCCAGATAGAACAACCCGAGCTCTTTGTAAATTGCTCAATGCCCGTTGGTCCCCCCTCCCCGCCCCCAGCAGTTCTACTTCATTGCCTTGTACCTTCTATTCCCCTGTTGGGCCACAACTCCAGCAGCAATAAGTATAGAGTAATTATTTCTGCCAGAAATGTTTCCCCTGAAAGGGGCTTGCCTTATTTTGGTTGTATGTGTGTGCTTGAAAGAAAGCCATGTTATAATATCAGGCCTCTTTGTTTTCCCTCTTTTAATACCCACTGGTTCTCTAAGATGTCATTGGCAAACACAACACCATTTGCTTTTGTTCCCTTTATAAATATTTTCCACTTGAGCCCTATTTCTTACTTACAACTGCTAAGTGTCTTGCTATGAAAAGCAACTGTTCCAAAGCAGTAGACTGAATGAACACAGCCTGTGTGGTTTTGATTTAGGAAACATTCAGCTTTTGGTCTGAAATGCCCTGGAATCAGAGCAGTTTATAGTCTCTTGGATTCTTGAAGGCAACTCAAATGGTAGGTATGTGTGTGTAAGGTGGGAACTGGGGGCAGATGGGGAGACTTGGAATATCCAATTGATTTGTCATGTCTATTGCAATCATGCAATTATTCACCCAACAACAATTGCTGAATGCCTACTATGTGTTTGCTACTCCTGGTCAAGTAATCCCCAAAAGGTGATCATTCAATCCAAGTAGAAAGCTTGTGTTAGACACTCTATGTCATAGAGGGCAAGAGACCAGACTTCATCATTGTCACAATTTATGTAAGATATAAGCCCTATCCAGAAATCTGGAGACATTGAACATTTCCCTATCTTGAAAAAAAGCTTACCAGAAGATGCTTACATAATTAAGAATTTTTAAAAGGAAAAAATAAATATATAAATTTTATATTATGTCAACAGACAAATCACATTATCGCCTCTCACTTCAATAAGGCCTCCAGTCTGTTTTACGTTGTGCCCGGCTTTTTTTTTTTTTTTTTTTTTTTTTTTTTTGCTAGAATTCATTGTAATAAGATGCTTGAAAAGGTTCTTTCTGTCCAGGTTCAGATCCAACAAAACTAATCCTACATTAAGCTATGACAAGAGGACAGACAATTGGAAATCAGAGGCATGAATAACATCCTCAAGATTCTGTCTTCTCCATCTGAGAAATGTGCCCCCCACTCTCCAGAGAGACTCCAGTTTTAATTTGATCACACCACTATGACTCATTCCCCCAGAAGAAATGGTCTGTACCTCACCCTAGACCAGGTTCTACCATCCGTGCCTTTATAAAGCATTGTAGAAAGTTGAGCAGTGATTCCTTAGTTTGCTCCCATTAAACTCTTTAAAATATATACATATATTGCAGAGAGGAAAGGAGAGAGAGAGAGAAAGAGAAACATCAATGATGAAAGAGAATCATTGACTGGCAGCCTCCTGCACATCGCCCACTGGGGATCGAGCCACAACCTGAGCATGTGTCCTTACTGGGAATTGAACTGTGAGCTCCCAGTTCATAAGTCAATGCTCAACAACTGAGCCACGCCAGCTGGGCTCCCAATAAGCTCTCCATAGGTTAGGCAAACATCCCAGGATTCTTAGAAGTATGTGACTAGGTGGACTTTGAGGAGCTCTAGCCTAATGGGATTCTCATTTCAAGCATACATCTAAGTTTGCAAGACATGAGGGCAAATGCTGGAGGACAAGCACTGGCTCTTCTCTTCCTGTGCAGCCCCCCATACCTAGTCTGGTGCTAGCATTGGGGAGAACACAAAATGTATTACTATAGGGTAATACACTTGGGATGCTCCATTAGTAGGCAGTGTCAACTGATATTTTTATTCAAGTAACGAAAACAAACTCTGGCCTTTCTCCAACCTTCATTAGGACTGTGTTGGATCCATTAATAGGAATGTACCTCTGTAACTGGGAAGCTATCAAAATCTCAGGCATCCCACCCTCTATTTTCTTAAAGTGATATAGTATTTTCCCTGCCATTTAAAATAGTTCTGCACAGCAAAAGAAACCAGCATTAAAATGAAAAGGGAACCCACTGTATGGGAGAACATATTTGCCAATGATACATCTGATAATGGGTTAATATCCAAAATATTTAAAGAACTCATACAACACAACAAAAGGAAGGCAAACAATCCAATTAAAAAAATAGGCAAAGGATCTAAATAGACACTTCTCCGAAGAGGACAGATAGATGGCCAACAGACATATGAAATAATGCTCAATGTCACTAATCATCAGAGAGATGCAAATTAAAACTACAATGAGGTATCACATTGCCAGAAAGGCTACCATAAATAAATCAACAAACAACAAGCGCTGGCAAGGATGCAGAGAAAAAGGAACCCTAGTTTACTGCTGGTAGGAATGCAGATTGGTGCAGCTACTATGAAAAACAGTGTGGAGTTTCCTCAAAAAAATTAAAAATGAAACTGCCATTTGACCCAGTGATCCCACTTCTATGAATATATCCTAAGAATCCCAAAACACCAACCAGTAAGAATACATGTACCCCTGTGTTCATAGCAGTGCTATTTACTGTAGCTAAGGTCTGGAAACAGCCCAAGTGCCCATCAGTAGATGAGTGGATAAAAAAGCCATGGTACATTTCTACCATGGAATACTATGCAGCAGTAAAAAAAAGAATGATCTCTTACCCTTTGAGATAGCGTGGAGGGACCTTGAGATTATTATGCTAAGTGAAATAAACCAGTCAGAGAAAGACAAATATCACATGATCTCACTTATATGTGGAATCTAATGCACAAAATAAACTGATGAGTAAAATAGAACCAGAGACATGACAACATGACAAATCTTGGGGGAGGGGTGGGGAGGGAGGTAGTGGGAAGAGATTAACCAAACAATTTATATGCATATATGCATTGCCCATGGACACAGACAATAGGATGATGAAGGCCTGGGGTGAGGCAGGAACCAGGTGGAGAGGGACAAGAGGGGAAAAAGAGGGGAACATCTGTAATACTCTCAACAATAGAGATAAATAAAATAAATAAATAAATAAATATAATAAAATAAAATAAAAAATAGTTCAAGTTTTCAAGTTCCATGCAAGAGAGCTTTGAAAAGGCCTTGTGGTAGATTATGTTTTCAAGGTGTCTAAAACAATACTTCTCATTCTACAGCTCTTTTGCACTATGATCTTGCCACTCTCTATTAGACAGGTGCGGCCTCTCCACCCTCCAGGGATCTAGGCTTGCCCAGTGACCTCTTTTGATGAATAT